ACCGATATCGCCTGGTCTCGGGCAGTGCACTGGCCGGCTAAGTCAGCACCCCTCACCGATATCGCCTGGTCTCGGGCAGTGCACTGGCCGGCTAAGTCAGCACCCCTCAGATGGCAGTCGCCTATGTCACCTAATGAGTTCACTGGCCCTGGTTGGACTACAGGTAATATAGAGGGTTTCACACGCTGGGGTGGAGAAATCTCTTATGGTATAATGCAACAAATAAATGAAAGGAGGAAAAGCAAATGTAATTGGAACAAACTAACAGAATGAAGCTTCAAAGTTATACCTGAAACAGGAACTATTACCAGGATACCATTTGCACTCTTACAAACAAGTCACCATGTTAAAATAATTATTCTGCTAGATTTATTAACATAAAACTACTTGCAGATTACCTGAATGCATCATGGATCATTCAGACACAAGTGTTCTTGTGACTCACCTGTTTAATGTCACAGGGAATCTTACACAGATTCTCAGGATCCTTTACCCACATGACAAGCTTATGAGATGTTGTAAGAGCAAAGGTGGAAATTAATCAGCCTGCTGCTTAAGTGCTAATACTGGAAATAGCTTATTTGGAAAAAAGTATGTTGGCAAAACAACCACAATGCTCTTGGTGAATGTTAGATATAATAAATTTGTCACTGTGTCAACCTCCAGGTTTTTCAATCTTATGATTATCTTATTATATAAAAAAACAAATAGTGTATTATTAAATGTACAAAATTCAGTACATTTTAAAGCCATTGCATTCTGCATGGCACTGACACCTTATGGAGATGAGCAGTACTGCATTAGAAGGTTAGTTTTATAACATGGCAGGAGAGCAGTTTAGAATACCCACTGCGAACCATATGCAGCAAATATATTTTCCTCAGAAGTTAAGAAGTTCAGTATGGAACAACACTAACAGAAGAACTCCCCAAAACTCCCCAAAAATGTCACACCCTACTGTAGAAGACTTACCTTTAAGAAGAACCTAACCAGAACACGAAACATTAATTACACAAGTCAGATGCACATATTTTATATTTTATTAGGTTATAATTTGCAGAGCTTAAAATATTAAATGCTTTTAACTTAGATAATTAAAAACACATAAAACGAAAGCCAGAACTGAAGAACCCTGCAAATATTAAAAAAAGAAATAAATAAAATGCCTCCTCAAACACAGAGGCCGTCCAAAAAGAAAGCTCTCTTTACTGCTCGTGACAGAGTCATACACAGTGATTACTGGAATTACCATTCTCTCTCTTGGGTTTGCCGTCCCATCAGTGTGCAAACACACACACATACAGACAGACAGACAGACACACTCAAGCCTTTGTCAGAGGACAGGCAAGAATTGGGGTGGGTGGGTTCTGGGGATGGAAATGTCATATGCAAGGTGGTCAGTTAGGGCCAGCGCAGTTCCTTTTTAAATACCCCCTTGCTACCTCTTGCGTGATTGCATAGGCCCTAGGACAGATGCCCATATTATGACGTACTATAAGCACCCTGAACAGAATGTCTATGTCTTTTTTTGGCCGGGTGGGGGTTGCATGTACAGCAGACAGTGCTAACTGTCTTTGTCCTCATGTTGTGCTGGTTATGTGAGCAAAAGCAGCAGCAGCATCATCATTCATTGGCCCAAAACCCTAACAAACCTCACCAGTGCCACAGGGGGAGCCCCAGTGCAGACTTTCTATTAATTCTGTTTTTGAGCTCAACCAAAAGCTCTACATTGCTTCCTCTGAGTCAAAGACTAATGTCCTTTATGTTTTCTCTCCATGCACACCAGAGTTTTGAAGCATACATACATACATACAAACATATAGTTAAGTGGCAACCAGATTACTTGACTTCAATATTACACGTGTGACTGTGTTAACATAAAAACAGTATTTTCTCGCGGCTCTCTCCGCGGTTGGCAGCAGTAACATATGTCCTCACGTGTCCTGAGTGGGAAGGCCTCTCAGAATGTGCCTGTCTCCCAAAATAAAATCCAAAACAAACTGAGGAAAGAAGGGTCAATCCAAGCAGAAGGCTGGCTGTGGTACGGGACAGGAACGGAGCCCGGGCTCACCGTGCCGGTACGGGACAGGAACGGGGCCCGGGCTCACCGTGCCGGTACGGGACAGGAACGGGGCCCGGGCTCACCGTGCCGGTACGGGACAGGAACGGGGCCCGGGCTCACCGTGCCGGTACGGGACAGTAACAGAGCCTGGGCTCACCA